TCCACAGTCTTCTCGGCTATACTTTTATTAACAGTCCCGCGATTACTGACCCATTGGGTTAACTCAATGGTCGACTTTCCCAATGAGCACCTGGACGAGCACCGGCCAATGATCTCGATCAGCCTAACATTTGCTTTACCACCTCTTACACCAAACCTGGAGCATCCCTTTTGGCTATCGGCCCGGTAGGCACCGACACTCCAGAAAGTGTTCCCCGAGCACCGGCCTCCCGATATTATGCCACACTCTTGGACTTCAAAGTTGCCTATAAATGAAGCAAAATAATCACATAATTAACAAGGATAAATATCACAAAATAATAATTTGAATAAATGTGTGTTATGCATACTTTTTCGTAGTTATCTAGTAATGATTAAAATTTGCGTAAACTATATTACATTGCACTATTATACTAGCATTAAACTAGCATACAAAATTAAACTAGCATACAACATTAAACTAGCATACAAAATTAAACTAGCATACAAGATTAAACTAGCATACAACATTAAACTAGCATACAAAATTAAACTAGCATACAAAATTAAACTAGCATACAACATTAAACTAGCATACAAAATTAAACTAGCATACAAAATTAAACTAGCATATATTACATAATACCCTCTTTAAAGAATATTTACTAGAAATTTATAATAATTATAAAGTTCTTTGTATATACTGTAACTTAAAGTGCAATAAATTTTAAGCTAGATACAAGATCATAAGTTAATCAAAANTAGCATATATTACATAATACCCTCTTTAAAGAATATTTACTAGAAATTTATAATAATTATAAAGTTCTTTGTATATACTGTAACTTAAAGTGCAATAAATTTTAAGCTAGATACAAGATCATAAGTTAATCAAAAGTCTTTAAAAACAATTTTAAAAATTATAAATTAATGAAATTTCCCTAAAACTTTATACGTTATATACCATACAAAATTGACCACGTTTAATACTTACCATTTTTAAATGTATAGATTTTTGTATAGTTTTTGATATTTATTCGTTCAACTTGTTTGCCATTATATCCACCAAAGTAGCTACCAGTGTCACTATCAGTGAACATGGCATCATAATACTGTTCCCCATTATCCACGACCACCCCATTGCACGTCCATCTCAATGGTTCAGTAGTTTCGATGAATATAGTCTTTGCCTTTGATTTACTATCGCATATGTAATGGGAATTCCACGTGACATCCAGTTCCGCAATCGGGGTGATAGCTGTCCACAAATAATATTGAGTTAAATCGTATTTAATTGATCATGATATTACTTATATTTAACTTTACTACTTTATTCTAGTACAAATCTGTAAACATAATCAAGCAAAAAATACTTGTAAAGATATCAATGGTGTAAAATATAATATAAAATATAATTTTAAGCAAGAAACTAGTTTAAGATATACTGAATTATAAATTTCACAGCTTACTTAACACTTTATACTTATTTTATGATAGTTGAGATTAACTTGTTAAAATTAAAAGTTATTACGATTTAACATAAACATCTCACAATACATACCCACCTCACGAGCCTTAGGAAGACCTTAAATAATACACAAATGTATGCATTAATTGAATTGTAAATCAAATGAAATCAGAAAATATTTGCACTACTTTTGCACCGTTTCTCGAGCCCTGGCTGTGGTTCATAGGATGCCTCCCATGACTCGGATTCCCACTCGGCTACTGGTGCCGACCAGTCAGGTCTCTCACTATCAAGTGACGGCCATCGACCCTCATGAGGTGGGCGCCACTGGCCTACCAATTCATCCCAATCCCCCTGATTGTCGTCCCAGTCCTTTGGTTTAAGTTTGTGTCCGGACTGTGCACTCAAACTCACTAAACATAGGATTAAAAGCAAAGTTATAATCATTTTTATGCAAAATCAATACTAAGCCTAATATTATGCTACTGATGTATCATTTAATATAAGTTTATATAAACTTGTTATTATATGTAATAAATATTATTTAAAAATAAATCTATTTTTGTAATGAGTGCAGGTGTTTGATTGGAAAGTTTGTATGTCCTAGTAAGTTTCCAAACAATTAGTGTTAAGTATTTTTTATATGTGAATTACTAATACCATATAAGATTTTAACCTGAAAAACTAAACATTTGCGAAACATTATTACGAAATACTATATCAAACTTGTAAATGTAATAATTATTAGTAGTTTTTGTGCATTTACTACATATAATACTTTAGCATTTAACATACTAGTTAATTAAACTCAAATTAATTTAATGAATTTTAATGATAATTATCTGATTTAAAGAGGCTATGTTATCTATTAAGCATAACCTGTTTAAGTAAACCTATGTGACACATAAGTCGTGATCGTATAGTGGTTAGTACCTTGCGTTGTGGCCGCAATAACCCAGGTTCGAATCCTGGTCACGACACAAACTTTTTTGCTATTTTATGTAATTATTTTGTGCATGTAATTTATTTTTATTAATATTTTTGTTTTGTTAGTATTATTTCTTTATTAAAATTTTATATTAAAGTTGTTACATTGTATATAAGTTATAGCATGTTTATTTTAAATTATGTTTAGATATAATTGTAATTATTTTTCAATTTTAGCCTCAAACTGTATGCAGAATATGGTATGGCCGCAATCATCATTCAAAACTATCTTGATGATAACACTCAATTCTGGGTAGTTCTCATGCACGGGTAGACTGATCTTGAGCGTATTTTTGTCACCAGGTTTGATGGGACAGTTCACTCCCCACTGACAGGCATTTCTATAAATAATATACAGTATAAAATCAAGCTAGCTCATTAAAAGTACCCCAATAAAGTTTTAAATGATAAACTCAAAATTTATCACGTACCTGGGTGTTATTGGGTATGATACAAATGGTAAACCAAATGAGAATCCCAGATTTATCTAACAATTTATTTAGCATGTAAATTTTAATTAAATTATACTAGCTAAATACAAACCCTGCCAAAGATCGCTACAGTAGCCGATGCTGTAGCCTCAGCTGACACACCAAACAAAATATTTTAATAAAATCATTGATTATTTTAGGATCAGATGTTTTTATGGCTTACATGTCGTGAAGTCGACGGAAATGGATGTGTTTTGCCCACACTTTAATACACAGCATTGGTCACAGGGTTTACAGCCTTTGACAGAGATATCGGTGACTTTACCCTTAACTGAGCCACAGTCGGTGTACTTAATACATGAGACATGACTGGCCACTGATATAATTATTGTATAAACCGCGATAACTATCATTGACTTCATTGTTTTCTAGTTTAGGTAACTTTTTTGGTAATGAAATATTATTTTTATGTTTGTGTCGAGGCTTTTATGTAAATTATTCTAAATATTTATAATTGTATTTTTAGCAAATATAATGGTATTTATAATAGTTTAGTAAATTTATCATTATGATTTAACACTATTTTATAATATATTAAAAATTTTAGGAAATTTTTACTAACATTTATTTCACTGAAGTGTGATTTGAACAATAAACAAAACATTTCTATAAAATTCATATTTTATATTTTAATTGAATACACGCAAAATATCTAATAAAAATAATAATTAATTATTACTGTATATAAAAATGTCAAAATATCCCTACAATCAGTATCGTAGGTATATGTATTTTAATCATTTAATCAATTACAAATTAAGTGTTTTACTTATACACTAAGGTTATTGAGAACTTTATTATCAATAAATTAGTACTTTTTAGTAAAATCCATGAATTTTATTATAAAATAAAATTATTTATTTATTAAAACAGTTACACTTATTTAGGAATACATACTAAGTTAGATTTAATTGTATAATACAGACTACACTCGTATGATTGCAGTCATAATTTAAAATATTTGCCAAAACAAACATAATTGTAAAATATATGCAAAATGTATTTACGATAAAACTGAGTTTATTTTATTAATTAAATATTTTTTACAAAGTATTTCATACTTTATTTAAATGCGATTGTGTTTATAATGTATAAGGGTTTACTTGATTTCAGCAGGGATCTCTTGGCAAATAAGTAGCTTTCCGTTGGCGTCCTCCAGTCCCACTCGGATGTGTAGTTTCACTTTAGGGTAGGAGGTCTCGACCGGCATCTTAAGCTTAAACTCCTGGTGACTGGCTTTGGCTACTGGGCAGTGGACACCCCAGTCCTTACACGCGTCGCTATAGAGTATTAAACAATATATAAATGCATTTTCAGAAAATTGCCCTGGTTATAATATTTTTCATAATTATTGCCAGGCATTGAATCTAGCAAATGAATGTAAATGATAGATACCTTTGCGAAAACGGGAACTCAATTGTTTGTCCAGCAATCTGATCAGGGTTAAACATAAGCAAGATTATACTTAATAAACTAGGTAACTATAAAATATAAATGAATACTCACAACAGCCCAGAGTTTAACCTTTGCTGAGGCCGTGTCGACACCTGTTCATTAAAAATGTGATATTTACTAATTATGATGTAAACCGCTAATAAAATGGACCTGGCGCCTACTCACTCGAGTCAAACTTGATGTTAATGCCGGCAGTGGAGCCGGACTTGAGGGTACAGTACTCGTCGCCGACCCCGCAGTCGTCGACCGTAGCGCCGGTCACTTTGCCGTCCACTGAACCGCAGTCCGTGATCTCCACCGACTCTATACGACCGGCCAGTGCTATGACTGCCAACACGACCACCGATAATGCGTTCATTATTATTGGATTTGTTTTGTTAGTGAAAACTATTTTTAGTTTTTGAGACTAATTGTAGAAATCATGCGACTAATGGCTCAGTATTTATACAGTTGCCGGCCTTACATGTCGTACCGATTGGCATCGCACCTGTCGCTCAGTCTCATTGTCTCTCAACTTACAAACTATTGTCTTAAGTGTCGTATCTTTGAAGTAATCGTATTTCAAGTGTATTTCAATCATACGAGTGATTAAATTCTCACTCTAGAGGTCATATGGTATGAGAGACAGGTATATCATATTCCGATATACCGTTCCCCTTACAAATATTTATAATAAACTTTTGTTTCAGTTGAAATATAGTAAGTATTTTTATTAAATAATTATTTTTTCAAATACTTTTTATTGTAAATATTTAATTTAGTAGCTATTTCTTTATAAACATATATTTATTAAAGCTATAGACACCCTTTGGTTATCAATTACCTGTTTATTTAATTACGCTTACTATAAGCAATGATTTCAAAACTATTAGTAAGCATACATTATAATAAGTGATACAGGTGCTTATCAATCTGTAGTTCTCAACTGTCAACACTTTACATTGTTTTCTGTACTATATGTCAATAAAATAATAAACCAATAATTTAAGTGACCTTAACTTATTTTAATTGAAACTAGTCATTAATTACAATCTCCAAAAACACTGTTAAAGTATTTTAATATTGTTTGAATATTTATAAATTATAATATAAAATTAGTTTTAAAGTTTTACACATAAACCCACCACAATTACCACTTTGTGATCCCTTTATTATTTTGTTCATTACATTACCACTCAAAGAGGTTATGAGAAAAAATATTTTATCATTTATTTTGCTCATTCATTAAGGGTTATGGAGTACGCGTGTTATCACGTACTGAATATATGATTTTAAAGGTTTTAGCTTGCTTTTATAAAATAGTTAATTATAATTTAATTTTTATTTTGAAATCTAATGTCAAATAACTTTCATGTAACTCTAAATATTTATTCAAAAATTAATAATTTTGTAAAGTGTAAAAGGTTCAAGTTTTAAAATATGATTTCATTGGAAATTGATAAGAAAATGTTATTTTAAGCACCTAGTAAAGTGATGATCAAAATAAATTGATTATGTAAGCTTTTAGATCCCGGTAACCTCTACACGAGTGATAACTGTGTTCCCAATGACCCCATGCTGTTGTTATGGGCTCATTGGGTACAACACTTAAAAATACTACTATACACTAGACTTTGAATGTTAAATAATTTTAATTACAAAATATTTTAATTGCAAAATATTTAGTATAATTTTTATAAAATAAATTAATAATACCATTGGCACTATTCCCATTAAAATTTTGCTTGATTAATTCTAATGGTATAATGTTTATTGTAAAAATTATGACAGTTTAAATATTTTCATATTAGTCACATTTGTTTAATTATTTAGTTTATTAATTATATTTTTATTTTATTATTTTCATAATAAATATATCAATACATATGAGAATATTTTTTAAATAATTATTAGACTTAAACAATAAATAAATATTTCATATTGATTTTTAATCCTGATTACACATACAAAGTATTAGTGAGATTTACCACTACAGCCGTCCTTTTGTAGGCATTGCGGGGAATGGTAGGGGAAATGGATGCAATCGTTATCGGACTGCAGTTCAATCATGTCGGCCATATATTTCTTGACAGCGATTTGTTCCGTTGAATTGCATTTAAACTATTCATAAAACAAAACATAATTACAGATATTAACCATAAATATAGATAATTATCAAAACATACCGTTATTTCTCTCTCATAGCAGTCAAAGGTCTGCCAACCGGAACAACACGACTCCCGAGTGGTCGGGTCCCCGGGAACGGGAGCCAAATAGTTGAACTCCAGGTTCCACTTGCGGTGAAAGTATACATTTCCCATTGAATAGTATCATAAATAGGCTCAAAATGAATACAATATTACTTTTAATCTCATGTTTAGTGGGTTTGAGTGCACAGTACGGACAGAAACCCAAACCCAAACCCGAGGTTTGGGACGACAGCCCACCAGGAGATTGGGAGCCACCGATCCAACCGTGGCGCCCACCACACGGGGGTCAACGGCCCCCATATGGCGAACCCGATTACAATCCTCCCATCTCGGAGGGTCGACCCCCGAGGCCTGACAGCTGGAGCGCACCGGAACCTGACTACAACCCTGAGCCCACATGGGAGAAGCCACGCCCACGCCCACCTCATCGACCGCCACCTGTTAGTGAACCCCAATATAGACCTCCCGC